CTCTATAATTACATCATGACGTAATTCCCGATCGACGCAATTCAGAATTGAGATCACCTCGAGAAGAGGTGTGGGTTGAGGGTTGGATCTCAAGGTCTTGCGTTCGTGAAGGAACGAGATTCGTGTATAGCGTCGGGCGTACACGCGTCGCCGGAGAGTTACGAGAAATTGCACGCGTCTAGGAAAAAAAAAATGCCAAGGAAGTGTTTGCGACGATAGAAAGTTACGAGATCGTTCAGACACCTCTTGGCTGCAGCAAAGAATAGCGAGAGATATGTTAATCCGCTACTGTTGAAACCCTGACATTTAAATAAATCTTTTTTCATTACTTTCGACACCTGTCTCCGCGTCTCCTCTTGCGCAGAAACGACGCGTGTAGATGCCAATGATAACCGGCGTGCAACAATGAGCGTACCCGGGCAACTGTGTAGCGCCCACGTTTATCAACGCAAGCGAAAGTCACATGTATAAGACGTCCCGATTACGTCCAACGCGGCCCCGACGAGGACGCCATAAGGATGTGGATCGCCTCGTAAAGAATCAACCTGACAGCTTTCATTATCTAGCGCCGTTATTTTCCCGCGCCGTTCTTTTCTAAGGCAACGGGAAGATGACTTTCTCGCGAGTGCAGGACGCCTCGCACCCGCGCGATCGACACGCGAGAGAAAAACAGTTCCGCGGAACATCCCGTTCTCGCTGGGTTTGGTGTTTCGGAAGTGATTGCCGGAAGTGAGAACGAACACGCGCGCGCGAGAAAATGAACGAGAACGTTGATTCGCGCCTCGGCTATAAACGAACGCGCGATCGTTCTCACGTAAGGTCGAAACAAATATTTGAAAGTGCGACGCGCGGCGTTAACAAAGGCAGTGCTCGGAAAAAGGTGCTTAGAGGCACTCGATTATCTGCGGGTGGTTTCGCGCGGCGAGAGCGAACGTGACTCATTTCGTATGGGCATCGGGCGGCGACACATTGGTATGTGCGCACGAGGCACCGGCCTGCCCTTGTCTTTTGAAAACTGCGCTGACCACACCGGTCAGCGATCTATTTGCGTAGAGTTTCATTCGCTCTCACTTTCTTCCGTCCGGCCGCGCCGAGACCTCGCGCCGAGAGCCGCGCGGATTCGTATTTACGGCTAGCCGGTCTTGCGCGCGCGCGCGCTCGCTAGTCTCCACAACTTTCGTTTTTCTTTATCATTAGAATGTCATTCGGTTACATGTTTTTTCAGACTGCCACGCGGGAAAGTTGAAAGCAGATTAATAAGCGCGCAATTTGGCGTGTACCAATATTCCTCCGCATCTTTTTAGCGCCAATTCTCAATTTATAATTGATTATTTATTAACCAAGATGTTGAAGCGATAATTCTTGAAATGAATAAAGAGTCAAGAGAGTTTTATAAACTGGAATCTTAGTTACTGATGAATAGATTAATTTTTATTCTTTAAACTTTCTCTATAAAAAAATAAAATTCTGCTGGAATTAATTAAAGTAATTACGAGCATATTATAATGTCGAATATGGAAAGTTGTGAGAGAAGTAACACCCACTCAAATTTCCATGCGGAAGATGAACGTCAAATTAATCGGGCAATCTCATTACCGTAATGGAGGGGTTTCATCTCCATCGCAAGACGCCATCGCGAATTCAGCTTCGTCGCTACAACGGGATGTGTGTGTAACGATCTATCCGATATTTCTAAACCACCCCGCCTACCTTATGCGGCGAACTTAATGCGTTTACCCGCCTGTGCATCCACAATACCGGGCGTAATTATAACACCGGCGGTGCGTTTCGTAAGGAGCGACCGCTCGGAGTCGCTCGAAAGATCGGCATGCCCTTAATTTATGGATTTGCCAGCCTCCCGTGTGTGTTGCGATATATTTCTTGCTCTCACATTTTCTTCTGAACCGGCTGTCTAATGAGACTATACGAGACTGCCGCCGTGGCCATGCACGCGCAAAAACGGGAAAGCCCGCTTCGGAATGCTAATTAGCCGGGCAGTTACGACGTTCTTTCGACGCGTTAAAACTTTACATCGTCTATTTTTTTAAAGAAGCGCGCTAACAATTATTCTATGTAACAACAAAAAAGTAAATCTATCGAAATTGCTCGATTTTCCGTCGAAAGTGCATGTCCATAAATTGACGGCGTTCGACGGGTGCTCGATGAGCCGATATAATTGAGAAGCATGCGATAATCAATTTCCTGTTGCATAATGACGGTAAAAAGGAGGTCGTAAAATGACGTGGTCTACACAATGGCTTGGGTGCCGACCGCGTCAATATCCCTGAGACGCGCGGCAAAGGACCGCGACGAATGAGAGAACGAAGCCTCCGCGTCGCGTCGCGTCGCGTCGTCCCGAAGATCGTTTATCGCCGACGAATCGCTGCTGAAAGCGGGCTAGAGATTTGCTTCTATTATATATATTAGCCTCGCTTTCGCAATTCGGCGTTACCGAGGTTTCTCTGTCGTCGTCGTCGTCATCGTCGTGGCTCCGGGAAAACTCCGGTTTCTCGACGTTCTCGCTGTCGAGAATCGTGGCCGCGATAAGTCGTTTTTATTTTCATTCTTTTATTTTTATCGCGAATCGCGGGCGACTTGTATATATCGTCGGCGTTCGTGCTCGAGCGACTTCGATTGAGCGAGGAAAAAGCGCCGCTCGATTCGGCGCTCGATCTTCATGACAGACAAGCTGCGTCATTGGAAACCGACGTTTCTCGCGGATTGCCAATATCGAAAATCGTGAGAAGTGCTCTCGATTCATCTCGCGGGGAGAAAAAAAATGCTTTTATGTGCATAGGAACGCTTTCTGCCTTCGGTATCGACGACTTTACTGCCGCGAGGAAATCTTGAGTGGCGTACGTCGGGGCGATGGGGATATTGTGCATCGCCGTGAAAAGTTTCGCGAAAACAGACGTCCCATATTTGTGTAATCGGTGAAAGTGCCAATAATCGGACTACCCCAGGCAACTTCTCCAGATCGCCTGATCGTTCGATCGCGCCGATTTCTTGGTATCGGGCTCGAGGCATTTCGCGCACGCATCCGGATGAGTTTATCCACCTCGGCAACAACAAGTCCGCGCGATGCACATGCGAGATCGTCTTGCGTTTCACGCGATTAACTCTCGCAGAACGAACCCGCCGCGCCGCTCTGCCTGCGAGAGATCGGGTCATGAAACTTGAATGGTAGGGAAACGATCGCGATATAGAAACCGCTCGTGAATTATTAATAAGCGTTTAATTGTCGTCTTACGCCGCGGGAAAGAAGAATCGGAGAAATCGATGTTGATGTATCCCGCGTGCGGGATTCTTGTGCATTTCTTCGCACGATTCGCGAATTATAACTTGTGCCGCAGGTGCAATGCACGGGTGAAATCGGCGATCATTAAACGTTCCCACAACAGCTTGACAGACACCAGGCTGTTTATGAACGCAGTAAGAACACAAGTGGTAATTGTTTATTATGCGCTTTTGAGTAGGTACGCGAACGTAACCGACTAAATTCATATTAATTTCAACTCTGCCGGCTCAAGTTAATAGCGACTGTCGTCGTAAAAACTTTACAGATAAAGAAAGAAACGTCACGATCTCAAGCGACTCAGGTCAAGAATAACGAACCGGCAGATATAACAATGCAGTTATAACCGCAATATATAATGAACAAAACTTTCACTATCAATCAATAGGGCACGTAACAAGCGTGTTCGAAAAATGCAAGTCGCCGCGAAAAATGTCGGGTTGTAACGAGATGGCCGTCGCGCAAACGCGCGCTTGTAACACGCGGATTTCGATGTGCGAAGTGCGAGTCTACTTCCCATTCAACAAAAGATTACGTTACCCAACCGCCCGGGTGCGGGTTCATTAAGGCAACGAACGGATGTCAACAACTGCCTGCGGTGTACAATTAATTCACGACTCTTCGCGGGAAAACTGTTGCAATTTTCGAGTTCAACAGTTTCCTCGCGTCCGGCGCGTCTTTCGCACGGAAGAAACGACAAAAGGGGAATTTCCAACAAAAATTCTCGTGGCCATGCTCGGAACACCGAGTGGGCGGACACAATTCACTTTCCGTTGTTGTTAATCATGCACCGTCTATGAATTATAAATGCCTTCACACGAGCGCGCGCGCGCGCGCAAATTACAACAATGAACCGTGATAGATCTTATCGAGATTCTGACTTTCCTGCGTTAATGATGGTTAATTTAATATAGGTCACTGGATAATGAGCAGTTTTTAAGACATCGCCATTAATATGTTAATGTAGTAAAAAGTCTAAATGCTTTCTACATAAATCCGATGTGTTAGGATAGACACGTAATAAATGATAAAAAAAATATAATTAAAATATAACATATAATAAATATATTCATTATACAATATAGTAGTTCATTATACATATAGTATAATGAATACTTTCATTATAATATGTAAACTGATTTTGAACACTTATTGTCAGTGATAATGTAATTATCGATAATAATTAATTCTTGTGAAAACAACAGATGACACAATAAATCTATATATTGTGCACATATTATATATAATGCAAAATAATATATAATTTTAAAAAATATGTAAAAAATGAATTATATTTTTATGTCATATTATTACTGCACGTATAATGTCCACGGAAAACAAAAAGAATACTGAAGATATTTGTGTTGTACAACTTCTTTTGAACGATTTATACTTATTAATTTAGAAAACTTCCTGGCAGTATGCTAATGTTGTAATGTTGTAATATTTAAAGCATTGTAACATACATTTGAAATATTGCAATCTTTAATCAGTTAGATGTATCTCTTTCAATCAATTTTTTACAAATTTAGTGTATTCACAATTATACATGTTATATCAAACGCGGATATTAGATAGAAATAAAACACAGAATTATAACATGTTGAAATTTTCGAAAGATGTTTCCGATGGAGTAACCGCGGAAATATGGGACACGGCTGACGAAACTCACGCTTAACAATTAGTCGAATAATTTGGCACGTACCAGCAATATAATCCTCATGGTGCACGCGTCGCTGATGAGGAGGGGGAGGAGTACTACTTTTGTCGGGGAACGGTCCTCCGTGAGTTTCACTGAGAGAGTGCAGCCGTATAGTACCGTGCTCGGTCCTTTATAACCTATACGAAGGCTTTTGCCTATAGTGGGGGCCCGCGGTCGTCGGATAGCAGCTACGTCCTCTTCGACACCGTGACACCCGCGAATTAGATTCCGGCTGTGCCCAGAGAGGACCGGCGACATGGCCATTGCCAAACAGGCACGCACCCCGCTGCGATTGCGAAATCCGTCGTAGTTGCGTGCACATTGAATATGTAGTAAAGGTGCGTGGACACCGAGAAAGGAGCGACACGTCGATCTCCTCCGAAAGGCCCGGGGTACGGGAATCGGATCGGGCAGGGTCGTGAGAACCGATTCTGTACGCGCGCCCAAGACAACGCTCCGCCACGTTGTGCCCTATGCCAAATTAGATTGTCAGCGTCTATTGAGATATGATGATGGAAAGGCGGTTCATATAGGATGATAGAATATCCCTCGAGGTATTCACCGCACAAATGAGCAACGTGCTGGCGTATTAATTACCACTCTAAAATAATCCGGCATGTTGTGGCATGTAGCAGGTTTCTTCCGTATGTTATGTTTCGTTGTAGCTTGTATATATATATATATATATATATATATATATATATATATATATATATTGTAGATATATATATATATATCTGTCAGTTCACGATGACATGTTTATGACAACAATTATTCGTGTGAAGTTTATCAAACAAGTTTTTTATGATCGAATTGCATGTTGGATGTTGGAATTATATTCCATAAACTAGTTTTAACCATGTATGTGTGTGTGTTTCTTCCATTGATAATACTATTTAATTTTACAATGCTCCGGATCCGGCAAAGTCATTATCAATTCATACCCATAATTCTGCACTGCTTAATTACAACGGAGTGCGTGTAAATAACATGCATTGTGTGAGCGCGCATGGCGAATTGGCATACGAAAGTTTAGATCGAGCGATAGACCACAGATCGTGCAGGGTCGTGAGAAAAATTTGTACACGTGGGCGGATATATACGAATTACATTAGAAATTGACGTTTCTACGAGATTACGTTCTGTGGAAGCTATTTAACCCTTTTTTCAGTGTTTCGGCCTAACATTTACATGTAGTCACACCGCGTATCTTAACACTAATCAAGATATAACGCAGTCAGTATTAATGAGTATTGAAGTCAGTACAAGATGCTTTCGGTATAAATAATTGAAAATGTGAATTCGGCGTTCGTAAAACGTTGCTTCAATTCTACTTTGCAAAGAAATCTATTTTAAGAAAATAGACTTTAGACATAAAGGATATATTAAATAATATAAATCAGAGCATTTAATAATAAATTGAATATGATAAAGTTCGATTACTTCAAGCTTACGATATCACGCTTTTACAATTTAGAAGAATTTTATTTACAAAAAATTTAAAAAATTTTATATTTTCTGGCTCATTAATAGAGACATTGATTTCTTTCTTATATAAATAGCATTCTTGTTATGTTCCATTCACTTTCATTTTTCTATCCCGTTTCCATTTATTTGCATCGGAGCAAATGAAACAAGCGAGATCTCAAGATTTTCCGATAAATATTTTCATGAAATTGAGTGAAATAGAAGCAATCTAGTGTAATCCACGTGGTTCTATCGTGCAACGAACGCTGATTGTAATATCCCCAGAAACGGTGTTAATCTCTTGGTTTTTTAAGGACGAGTACGAGTACGTGCGTACCAGCGGGAAGAAGAAAGTGACGGAGAGGCCGTGTAGAGTGGCTAATATCACATTCAAGCGCCGCGAGAACGATGTATATTAATTCGGGAGAGTCGCAGGGTAATTGATGTTCCTATTTCTTAAGACAGTTACGAAGCATCTGCGCGATCTATGTGAAGCCTAGACTAGACGATGGCGATACGCTTTCGCCCGTTGTGTATTATGGACGGAAGAGTACTTAGCATAATCGATATAGTCATCGATTCGCGTGTCTGTCCATATCTGTCGGCTTGTCGAATTTGTAATAATGAAGGTAGCGAATGAATTAAAATGATCGTTCGTCGATAAATCGGGACCGATTCTAAAAATCCGATTTTGAATCGAGCGATTCTTGAACAATAGTTCGTGAACAATAGGGGGACATGATCACGCAAACGCCGATATTATATATTAATTACATTCTCGTGTAAGTACCGTATAAAATCGGTAGTAATAACCCATTGGAGAGATTTCAATTCCGCGGAAATATATATATATCGGCGACTTTCGCGATACGCAGCTGATGGCTTTCAAATTTCTGTGAAATTATCGTAAAATTTCCTAGCAATAAATAGCGACGTGTTGCAGCACCAGCGAATCTTATTTCAAGTTCCAAGATTTATGCCAATATCGCGAAGCCGGTTTCTCAGGAAGAAATCGTTATTCACTCGCTTTCATTAGATCGGATGGAGGCGTATTCGAGTTCGCTCTCGGTATCATCAATGGAAAAGACGAGGCGAATGGATACGCTCGCGGCGCCGGCATTGCGCTGAACGTGGAACACGATGTTATTACTTCTCGAGGCATCGATTCATTTCCACGCGAGCACGTGCCTAGACTCGGTTCATTATCAATGCTGCGGCATTTTCTGCCGCACGCTCACAGCTGATCGTCCTGGCTCCGATACGACAATATTATGACAGAAATAAAATTGCTCAAGAGTAATAAACTTGTACAATCAGTCGATCTCTTTAAGTAGTTATAATACTGTTTTTATATATCAGAGCATTCCTATTATCAATAACTAATAATTATAAAAAATGTTATGCAAATAACAGAATATTTTAGTTTCTGGCACAATCTTCCTCACGAGATCTCAAATATATATTTCAGTATATTATTATATTTATATTTCAGCGAATATAAAAAATATAAAAATATGAAACGCTTGAATGTGGATTTAAATTATAAGAAAAAAAATTAGAGGTAACAGAAAAGAAAATAATTAGAGATAATTTGCAATTATCAATACGGAGTGTCGTATGTGCATATCGTGTAATATATATTTTGATCATATTTCTGTATAATGTACAGAGAATCGTATTGGCTTGAACATACACAGCTCATTATCAATCCTGCTTTACATCCAACGTGATCGCGAACGGATTCCGCGACGCTCAGCTGACCGTCTTAAAACTTTCGAAGGGGAAAGTTATTTTCACGAGACTATTTTCACACTCGCAGGTCCGATCTAAGTGTTTACAGAAGCGTTACATATATCTTCGTTATTCCCTTGTACCTTGCGTGCAACTCGTAATTTAATCAGTTTTATTTCTGGTGTTACATAAAAATTTATTCGGTTACTATCACTCCGTTACGCATTTCTGTGGAATTCGTTGTTATTAACATTAGAACTACTGAAGATTAATGTGTACATCTATATTTCTGCTATATATTTAAGTATATCATATATGTATCTTTGAAGAGATAAAGAGGAAAATTAATCAATGTAATTATTTACATGTTGCAACAATAGTCACGGAATATCCCAGAAAATGCACCGTTACAAATTTAATAAAAAATTATAAACCAATGATTTTGACTGCTTTGGTAGTTCTCTAGTGTTAATTATCCTAAATAAATTACGAAACGTTTTTTCACAATCGATTAGTCGAGCTACTTTAATATAAATTTGCATTTATCAACGAAAGCACTGTCGAAGATGAGATGTGAAGGTATAAATTTAAATCTAAATAAGAAATATATTTTTCTTAAAAAATTTAGAGAATTCTAAGTTTAATAAATACAGATAAACTATATTTAATCAAATAAAGTAATGACAGAAAAATTTCAATTATTTCCTCCGAATTTTCGTTAAGCGAGCCTCGATCGAAAGTCACGATCGCTTGCATCAATGTTATCGTAGATTTCGCGCAACTTCGACGAAGTGCATAAATTCAGGCGAGGTAGGTGAAGCCTGCCAGCCTGCCGTCTAATGTTGAAATCCGACGGAACGTTTTTGCGTGACTCGCCTGGCTGACAAGTCAACGGCCCGTTAAGAGCAGCGTATAGTATAATTTCGCGAGCCACGCGTGATTTTCCTTCATTACGAATTTTATAGCGCGAGTCATGTCCTACCTCCGTCGTCGCGTCGCGCGCTATCGCTAGTCCACGAATAAGTCAATAAGAGTAATTGGGATTCTAAAGAGTATTAAGATTGCGATAATTGGCACTATCTCGACACGCGTATCAGCTTTCTAAGGAGTGAATGTCAATACGTACATTTTATGTAGCGGTACCAATGTTTTACGCGTATAGTGCGCGAACACCGTCGTTAAGAACACACTGTCGTACACCGCGAGACGCCGATGGCGCGGTTGTTCTTTGCATGCGAGAAGGTCAACGTGCATGAAGTAATGCCCACCTTGCACAAAGCGTTATGATGCGATCGTCTGGCGCGACGCCAGGGTATACGCCTCGCTGCAATTTGTCCTGTAACCGTGAACGCAGTGCTTATACTGATGTACGGCGCCCTTCGTTGATAAATGCGCGATTTCGCGGGTCTTCACCTTGCGCGGCTCGCGATACGTGATGGGCGATGGGAAAAAGAGTATTTATTATGCGGCCCCTGAAGCACGGCCCTTGAAATGCGCGATACAACGGCATAAGTAATGCAAACAAGAATAAGATTATATGCGGTACATCCTTGAATACGTTAAAAAGGAAAGGAACAAAATCTACTGCTGAAAATTATGTATGCGTGGAATGATTGGGGATAATGCTTGCTAAAGCGCAAATTTTAAGGCGGTATAATAGATAGACGTAAAAAATAGACAAGTAATCGATGAAGAAACGCCTATATCACATATACATATATAAACCGAATAAAGATATTTCTGACCACTTATTACGAAAGATGCAGGAAGTAGTGGCGAAAATTACGGGGCCAGCAAGGTCGCGTTATATCGAGAGTTTACAATACACGTAATAACTCGCATATAGCGCACACGCACTTTTTTTTGCGTCGAACCGATCGCTGAGAACTTTTAAAGATGAAAAAACACAGCGCCGGCTCGCTCACCTTGAAACCTTCTGAAAACGAAAGTAGAACTCCTTTGTTCGGTGTAACAAGATTCAATTGTGACGGATATCTTTGGAAATGGTAAATATTTCTAGAAGTAAGTATCTGCCGAATCGTTGTCGTGGCGAAATTCCGAGGAACCCGCGAATCATTCGCGCGCGGTAAAACAGGACGTGAGAACGATGCTATTTTGGCAATCAAAAAGCAGAAGATAAAGGCCAAGACGCTGTGCGATGCGAAAATTTAACCTGTGAGAAATCGGACCGGTTTATGCTTACTCGCGGCATTTCATAATCTTTGGAAGTCAAGGGGGGGAGGCAAGATAAGATCGCTACCGCATGCAGCCGTTCGTGCAACAACGTTACTTTGGTTGTCATTGCATCAGGCGTTTTTAAATTAATCTTGCGTACATTGAACGAATTCATTGAGAAATGAAGCGCTAAGATTTTAAGAGCCTTTAACAAAGACCCGGTAGTCTTTGTGTGTGTGTGTGTGTGTTCTCAGGAATATAATGTTATTTTTACAAAATTATAAAAATTATTTTTAATGAGTCCTGCGACTGTGGAGCGATGCTATTCACTTAAAACTGAAATACTTTTTGTTCTGCAGGAAAACTTTGAGTTAATTTTTTTAGTATAGGTAATTAAAGAAGAATTTTTTGTAACTAACATGTTAAAGGTTGACATCACTTTGCAAAAATACGATAATAATCAAACGCGTATTGTCATCGTTGCATGCAATCATCTCTAAAATAAATTAAGTTTTCCTGCTTCCGTGTTCATAAATGTGAAGAACAATTCAGTAATTTAGAATTGAGTATGGGTTACTGCATTCGAGCAAAGATGCGACTCTGTGTTCCTTTGTGCATTCAGCAAGTATGAACATCGAGTGCCTTTGTGCCTAAGAGGAGCGTAATTGGAAAGGTGAAATCAGGAAATCTCGTCGCCGAGCCGGCATTGTACGGAAATTTTTTTACGTTCCATAAGACAGACGGTGGAATTTAGTATTGGCCTCACTTTATTCCACTCGAATTACCTTACAATAATCTAATTACAATAGTAAACACACACCTAATTAACATAACATTCTCGCGGGACCCTCGCAATTCTAACTGATCGCAACGGTACTTTAATGGCGAGTTCTCGAGGCGAAAGCGTTTTTTCTGGAGTTAAAGGCAAACGCCCACCGGAGGGAGAGACGAGAAATTTTATTTACATTCTTTTTACAATTTCTACTATCACCTAATGTCCTAATCGGTACCGCTTGTTATCTGGGCAATTCTTCGACGAGTAGTGATGTATGTAACAATAATTTTAATGATTGATAAGAAAATGACGTTAAATATTATCCTCTAATGTTATAACTCGATGGATATTCGTGAAAACAAATAATCGAAGTAAGAAGTCGAGAACCTCAGACCTTGGCGTCTATCTGCTCGAAAAGTCAGCATTTCTCACTTTTAAGACATCTTGAAAAACTCTTTTACCTCATTTAATTTTCAAAGTCAAGAAAAGGAAATATGATAAGGCTAAAAATCTCCGCTTGAACAACGTATTCATTTCTATCAAAATTGTTTTATATTTTACTGTCAACTTATCACTAGTTTACCGCTGATGGAACGATGCAATGTGAAATACACGAGATTTATCGTTTTTTTAATATCATGGGTACAAATCTTTAATTATTAATTAAGTATAATTAATATGGAGAAATCCGTGATTACGTGGACTTAGAGAAATAGAGTCTTATCTTTCGACTTGCGATTTCAGACGTCAATAGACTAGTAGTTCTCAACTTCCGATTGCAATAGACGATCTATTCACGGCGATCATCAATCACAGTGCTGTCCACTTCGGTGAGAGTGGGCCGCGCCGCGATTACGATGAGTCGCCGACGCGTCCCATTCACGAATAGAATACAAGACCAACACGCAACCGAGACGAGCAATCGAGCCTGGGATCAATCGTATAATGTTCGGTAGTACTTAATAGCTCTTAATTGCTATATACATCAAAATTAAACTCTATGGCGACGTAAAGTAAATCTATCCTACGAAAAACATTGAAGTTTCCATATAGCATTACAGTTGAACGGTAAAAAAATTTTGTTGAGGCTCCAACGATTGATCCTAGACTCTCCTACTCTTCGGTAGGCAAAGAGGCAGGACTAGACGGCCTAGTAGTAGCCGAAGCTGATGTCGTGCAACGGCGGCGCCACTCCCTGGGGCAGAGCGTAGTCCCTGGCGAGCTGGTCCAGGATACCGCCGCCGCTACGGGTCTGCGGTTGACGGCCGTCCTGTTGGTTCGGCGCCGGACCGAACTGAGCAGGTCCCTGATTGTAGAGCTGCGAAGCCGGCGCTGGTTCATCATAGGCCGATCCCTGCACCAGGGACTGTTGCGGTGCCGCAGCGGCCGGGGTGAAAATGGGCGGTTTAGGTAGCGCGGGTCTGCTTGGGGCTACCTGCGCGGGAGCGTACACAGCCTGGGTGTGCGACTGCGGTTGGTATGCCGGACGAGCCGCCAACTGCTGTCGCTGCTGTTGCAGCTGCTGTTGCTGTTGCTGCTGCTGCTGATACTCCTCATAGGCCTGCGCCTGGAGAGCCTCCTTGCTGGTGGTCTCGTCGAACAGAGTCGGCGGAGCGACGGTGATACCTTCACCGGCCGGCTGAAAACCGTACTGATTCGCACCGTACTCGACTATACGGACCTTGCCGGTGTCATCGACGAAGCCGTATTTGCCCTTCACGTCGCCGGTTGGCAGCTTGGTCTCGATCTTGAAGGAGCCATCCGCGCCTTCGAAACCGTACGTGTACGAGCCGTCCTCGTTGTGGCGATTAATCTGCTTCAGGATCGCCACTGGCGTTGGCTTCGGATTCGCTGGCGCGGCCGATTGACGGCCCGGGTCGGTCGCGTAACTACGTGGAGTCGGTTGGCTAGGTCGTTGGGAGTCATACTGGGCGTAATCGTCAACGTAATTGCCGCCGGGTTGCTGATACTGCTGTGCCGACACCGCCAGCAGCGCGGTAAGCACCGTTGCTACCTAAAACACGGAAGTATCATTAGTTCGTTAGTTGCCTTTTGCAGCATATTTCCAATTAATATGATTAGAGCATGTACCATTGGATTCTGCTTATGTATTAGTGTGTGATAGAAGCAGGATTTAATTGCAACTTTTCCTTACGTCTCGCTAGCTCTCTGCATATTTATCTCTGTTCAATTTAATTATATAAATTAAGTTAAAACCCAAAACTAAGTTATTATTCAGTTTTGTTCTGCTTTTTCAGCCATTTAATAACTTTTTAGTTTTCATAATTTAATTAAGACTTATAAAAACAAGTTACACATAAAAAATGTGGCAGATAATTCGGGACAGTAATAGTCAGACATTTTACAGCTTCTCGCTTTTAATGCTAGATTTACTGCCATTTTTACGCTGCATTCTTATAGTGCCCGTTACGTTTTTCACGCGAGGAGAAGAGCGTTAAGGTTCGATGCAAAATAAAGCGAGAATTTCTCTGCGCGTGGCGCAAGAATGGACGTGTAGTGTCACGAAGTTATGAACCGTTAACTTCGTGAAATGCAACCGTGAGATCATCGCGCGACAGCGCGTGAACTTAAGGCTATCCTGCAGGCTATCGAGCAGAACCTTAACCGCCAGATGTGATAGCATTGCGACACGGTCGAGAATAGATCGCGCGGGGCTCGAAGGATACCGGATTCCGCGACGGCAAAACGGGTCTCGAGTCGCGGAAACCACACAACCGATATGGGGAACCGATAAATCAAGTTATTAATCGCGATCGTTCACGCGTGACCGTGCGTGCTCCCTATTCATTCCCGTGCGCGATTACAACCGCGTGCCGATTCTAAAATTAACAAGAAATTAATTAATTCACTCGATCTGCATAGTATGCTTCCTGTAACTCCAAATGAACGAGCGTGAAATGCCGAGAGAAGGCAATTTGAATCAGCATCAATTAACCGATTCGAATTAATTGAATAAACTATTAATCAAATCTCCGTATAGTGAAATTCATTTGCTCTTTTATCGTATTATGCTACGCTGTTACAGTTATATGTTTCGTCATTATCTCTCGTTGACTTGTTAATATAAATTTCTATTTCTATGATATAACAGCTATTTTACATATGTGCGCGCAAATATTTGTACGAATTGTTCAATATTAATTGGCCATTTATTTCCGTTCTTTCTGTATTTATGCTCGGTTTTTTTATTTCTGTGTGCTCTTAACGAATGTAAATTATAGAACATGAATAACTTACATTTCTTTTTTTTATCTCTTTCCATACAATTTTTTTACGAAAAAAAAAAAATAATAGAAAAATATTTTGAAAGTCCAGAACATTTTCGTCACAGAAAAATGAAAAAATGAATGAAACAATGGACTTATATAGCGTACTTTTGCGGTAAGAAGTTAATTAACCATGGTTAACCGATGCTGGTGCAACCGACCTCGAGAGCTGCTCGTATTCTCGGTCGGTCATCGCACGCGACCGCACTCGAACATAATGATGAATTATATAATCATCTTCCCGTAAGCGTCAGTAGGCGCGCTATAAAAATAAATGCATCCCGCGCGGCTCATAATAGGTGAAACCTTAATAAATTTTTCCACGACGTGGAAGAAAGTAGGAAACGGGACCACGAGAGTTGCGCAACGCGGCCAAGCCTACGCATTTTATTAACATCCAATATGCCGGCCGTTTTTCGTTTCGCTTTTTACCACGAATTTAACGATTCCAACGAGCAGCAATTAGAGTCATGGTAAAAAGACAAACAAGATAAAACATTAATAAATTGAGAAGAGAACGAGACTTATCTTAATCGCGGTTATAAGCATTGTTCTTCCATCACGATCTTGAGATTTCTTTTTTAGATATAACTTCTACAATAAAATTGCGATGCGATTCTTTATTGCAATAATTCGGTAGATTTATAACAGTCCATATTGCTAACGAGCGTAGAAACACAGAAAAATGGAAAGTCAAAAGAAGTTTTAAAGATTCTGTTGAGAAAGACAGGATAAATGAAAAGAAATTCTTCAGGGTTTTTAGCGTCAATTTTCCAAACTCGCGATACGGATATGCACTGGTCACAGCCACAATCACATCACACACGCGATTTCCGTTTTGGCGCTCGCATTCGAAGGTGGTTTTTTCATATTTTCTGTTTTTCAGGCAAAGATCTGCGAGAGGCGATTACGCGAGGAGAACAATGATGAGACGACGATGATGCTGCTGATGCACTCAGATACGTACCGTCGCGAGGGTGCGCATCGTGTTTCCCGGCGGTCGGTGGTTGTGTTAGTGTGTGTGAATATAAGTAGGCAGCGAGGCTAGAGTACCGGCGATTGCTCGAACTGAGGCCCTCATATACCTTACTGGAGCCCCCCCGTTCCTGCCAACCCCCGCTCCCACCCTCTGCACTCCTGTTCGCTCCGGGGGACTTTCACTATCTATTCGACTCCTGTACGTACGTACGGTCGCCTTGTCTCGTTACAGCACCTTATATCCCCTAAATATTCCCCACCAGCCTGCTCGCTTTGGTTTCTCGGGAATCTGGAAAATAGCGACTCCGTCGCTCGGTTGGTTGATCCGCGGATCGCGATTACGGGTAGAATTTCGTCATTAAGAGCGTAACGCTCGAATCAAACTGTTCGGAAAGACTATCATTTCTATCGGTTGTGTACACTGTTAAAAACGGAACGGTTCGAGAATCAGGGGGTTGGGAAAATCCCTCGTTGCTTGATGACATCTTCTCGAATGAACAGGATAAATCTCGCTTAGAAATTGGCACCCGATACGACAATTACGTAACCTGTCCCGACGAAAAATTCGGATCGGTTTTGTGAAACTGGTGTGCCGGGTTTCTAAGGTGAGATATTATGTAAAACTGTGGCGATAGGTATAGATCGGGGCCACGAAAGAGAAATTACACGCAGGAGCACCGTTTCAAATAATTTGACGAGTGCGCTCGTTCTTATCACTGGCCACCGTCTCGCCTCCCAGTCGCGGAGTCGTAAAAAAAAAAACGAGCTATTTTCTCTACGCCGTGTCGTTCAGTCTTTCTCTCGCAACGGGAGCCATTTCAAATCCAGTATTGGACCACTAACATGACGGGTTTTGCAACTCCCGTGTCACGCACGTCCCGTGTAACTACCCTGAGCACATACTTTATACATTCCAAAATTAATCTGCAACTTGCAAATTTAAGTCTACTTTATGTGTCTGTTAGAAACTTAGATATGTCTACTTCGATTGTAGGTATTTCCATGCCTAATGATCAAAAGTCACTGAAATAAATACAGGTGCATATGTTACAATAAAAAAAAATATATAATTAAAATATTTCCTGTGAGTTTTTATTAATGTATGATTAAATGTGTTTTTAATATATTTTCAGGGGTTAAATTATCGCTTACGAAAGCAAAGAATCAAAATCTCATAGAATATCACAACGCACACTTCATCATCAGTCATTAAAGTTAATGAGCAGATGTAAGTCTATACGGACTTGTGCTATCGAAATACTTCCTACCGAAATTGCATTTCCTGTGAACATATAAATTGTACGAGATCGCTCGCGTACGAGGATCAAGTGTAATTGACCGCATTTCGAAGCATCGAGTTTATGTAATATCAATCTCAACAATACGTTCTGCCCCGCGACACTTCACTCTCGCTCATGCTCAAGTAGTATCTTGAAAAAGAGAAAGTGTTATTACATATCGCCCCGCCCTGATTTGATTATACATATTTGAAAATCAAATATCGATAGAATGAACGATATACAAACTTACGGAGGAATATTTTGCTATGATCCTAATTATACATTACTTTGGAGTGATAATTTTCATAAACAAATATGTATTATATGTATTATATATATTATATGTATTATATGTATTATATGTATTATATGTATTATATGTATTATATGTATTATATGTATTACATGTATTACAAGCGGAAAAAGGAAATATTGAGATATAAATAGTCTTTAAAAATCATACTATTACATTATCTGGTTTCCGTTAGATTCCGCGTCTGAAAATAGAGAGCGTGGCATTGAGCCTCAAAATATAATGGCGTGACTCCCGTTCGTCTCCTTGAAACTGACCGAATGCAAGGTTGAACAGCGATTCGGTAAAATGGAGTGCGGCCTTTGCAGGCCGATCGGCCGGTCACTCGTGATGTTTTCACCCGATGCTTTTACGAAACACGCGAATCGCATGAGTTCCGTCTGTGAAATTATGGTGGATCGATCGGTATTTTGTAACTTTCTATCGGCATATTGGACAGCCAGCCAACCAATCGGCCGATATTCTCTTATTTCGTTAGCTAATTTTTCTTGCCGCGTCACGCGCCAATTAATATCGATAATGTGTCGACTAAAGTCGCCAATTATTTTGACTTAATTTTACTTGATATTCTATAAAATTCTATAAAATTATATTACTGCTATCTATAATAAAATAATAGATACATAGTATAGACATTTATGCATACACATGGAATTTGCATAAACTGCGTGAATATATAAATATAAATAACACATTTCTTTAAAAAAATGAGAAAAGAAACGGAAACTTTTTTTATTTCTCATATTTGTGTAAACTGTAATGCAATTGCATCCTCAAGGTTTTCGAGGCGATTGCGATGATGTGGTTTAACGATAATTTCCACGAGGCGTACCCTACAATGAGACCCGCAATAATCGTCCGTGAACGACCCAGATTATTTCTGCATTTACAACTTTGTTTTGCCGAAGATTTCGCGGTGGCTCCAATGCCGCTCAGTGAAAGGGAATGTATCAGTCATTTTTTTTTTTTTACAACCACCAACAAAGAATTCTTAATCTTATAATGAACTTATTGGATCCAGACATCTTACAATTAGATTTTGTTTAACTCGAACAGTCTGATCTTTCTAAATTATATCGCTGCAGCTTTGTAAAAAGTTTCGTCGAATTAGTCGATGATACTCAAGCGATATTATTTAATGTCTATTGCTTTGACTAGGAAAAGTAGCAACGTATTAAAAATAAACATTACAGGAATATAGATATAGGAAAATTTCTGAAAGTGGAATATTTATTAAAATATCTTTCGGGCATTCGATAAATGATCAACAATTTAAATAAGAATGGTCAGTAACTTTATAATATGCCTTTGTATTGAAACAAACATATATCGAATTCATATAATGTTCTAATAATACTTGTAGAAAGATCGAATGAGTCTCATCGTAAACTTCCCTTTAATTAAAGAGGTATTATCCTATCATGATACATGATGAACACACACACACACACACACACAGAATTCTGTATAATTTGCCATGAAGTATGCAAATTATACAGGTACCTCGCCTTTCACAAGTCGCTCTCTTCGAAAACAGATCTCACAGCCGCTAGCCCTGACATTTACTGATATAGATCATCTCAAGTCAAATTAATTCCTTGATATGCGATCGTAGGACGCCCAGCAATGTTATTTACGACGGCACATTTCTCTCGCGCTTTGCGCCTTATTTTATTATGTAACTATCACGGATGTTGCATGCTGTAACGATTTGCGATAAAAGCCAATCGATGCTCCTGTCGCAAATAATCCAACAAGATGTTAATAATAATTATTAAGAACGTTCGGCTACCGAGTTTGGTGGAAAATTTTCCGGATATTACGCGATTTTTTAACAGGTCGATGACGATTCACCTGGCAGCTTCCTCCGATTAATGTTACGACTTTCTATTTTTATGCAACAATCGAAAAGGATTGTCCGAGCTTAACGACAACTGACACACACGGCTCGCGCAGGAACTGGATCTCAGGTCCGCAAAAACTCGGTGCGTTTGGCGCTCGCTAAGAGAAGGTGATGTGATTAGCGCGTGAACTATCTAAAATGTAAGTAAAAGTCGTTCTGTCGTCGTGGCACGCGCGCGTATTTCGGAAAAAAAAGAACCAGTATACACACACAATTACATATAAATTATTTTATTATACAGTATCAACTATTACACACACATCTATGTTATGTCTTGAGATGCAGGTTTAATATTGAAAACTAGAATATAGTGGAATCTTTCTTTAAACAATTTTTCTAAAAAATTATCTTTTTGTCTTGAAATGTGCAATGTAAAAACATGTTGATTAAGCAAAACTAAATTTAGTTGTAATTATGATTTTTATTGTGTTACCAACAATATATCAATAAAATAAAGTAGTTTTATTAAGAGCTATATTAAAAAGTTCAATATTAAAAATTAGTAATAACGCGATGTATATTGAAGGTAAATGAAAAAAGAGTAAATCTCCTAAAGAAAATGTGACATTTCCCATTTATTAAATAAGCGTATTAAGTTCTATATATTTTCCAACGTGTAGAACGAACGTGAATAAAAATATTGTTCTGATGGTAGTTATATAGTAGTAGTTTATTGAGAATTATGCATGTGAATTTTTAATTGCACGAAAAATCATCAGTGATACATGTTATGACAAAACAAATGCTAATTTTTTTTATTCAATCTTTGTCGCAATTCACAACATGATTCAACTGCAATGCGGCGTAGACTGAACGTATAAAAATTAAAGAATAAATTTTGAAAATATTGGAAAAGCATAATTATCTTAATGCAATATATATTATATCGCGTTTTAGTAGGAGATACAAATGACTCTCGGCTGACTTAGCGCGAATCGACTTGTTTTATAATTACGTAGCTGCGACAAAAAGAGGAAAGTTATACGTGTTCATTACGCCGATAAAGGAAAGCAAGTTCTGCCGACATCTGGCGCACCGGACCGTCGCACCACGCCTTGCATCAGAATGTCTCGAGAGTGAACGCGGAATCGCGATATACTGCGTGCACGCGTGTCGTGTCACGATAAACTACATATCGAAGACAAGGGAACGAAAACTCGATCACGAAAATCGACAAGTCATCACGCGTAACATTTGCGTGTACTTTTCTTTTCAGGAATAATCTTTTTTCAAATATTATTATAAATGTATATCTATGAGTTTTATATGTGCAATTTTACTATGCATGGTAATTGATTGCTGTTACGCAATATTAAATATGATATTATAATAATAAACAAATTAACTTTATTCCTCCGATGCACCATATGTGGGATGCAACTTCATTTTAATTACTTTAGTTTTCCTAATTATATATTTACAAGTGTACTATCTCGATAATTAATATAATCTTACGGTTCTATTGTGTTTGCGAAAGTTTAAAAGGAGCTGTATCGAACTTTTCTCCGGTAGAACTGATGCTTCGATACATATGTGCTCGATTGAGCGGTAGACGCCGATCTCGCGCCAGAATCGAGTAGATCGCGGATTATATTGTGAAAGGTGGACTTGGGCGGTGGTCCGTGGCACTCTCCACGTATCAGGTATGCGCGACGTGTAAGCCACATGCGTGGAGATTAGGATCCTAAACCAGAAGCTGAAACGCGATGCTGGCACGAGCCAACTGTTCCTGTTATAGCCACTATTCCACATAACTATCATCATATACCATTATGAAAAAATTAAAGAAAAAAGGGAGCAATGTGTACGTTGCATTTTAATAAAAACATTACATCTTTCTTATATTATAAAATTAAGATATATTTTTATATATCTTAACTGACATCATTTGCAGAAGAAATTTATATCACTTCCGCGTCAAGAGTTGACAATATTGTTTAATTAAAATTAAAATTAAATTTTACGTACAATTTCCATCGCGGACAGTGTAATAAAGTAAACTTTTAGGAATTATCTATTGTAATTACATAACGTTATTTATATTTACCGTTATAATTTACAAATGTGATATGTATTTCCTTGCATCTGTTATGACGAATGTAAAGATAAATTGCCATTCGATATGAATGATGTGCAAAAAATATAGACTGTCGAACACTAAGAATTGGAGGAATGCGAAGGAAAAATCGATTGGCGCATTCGATCCAACGCAATGCACGCGGATTTTTATTGTACGCGCATTCGGAAAGGCCGAGTGCGAAGGTATCGTTAGGTCTTTAGATGTTACACAACGATAAAATTCTTGGGTGTGTCCCGATGTAGCCCGATGGCGTTCTTCGTAGGCTGGAGAAAAATGTTAATTGCGTCTTCAATCATTAAAATAGGGGGATTAAGAATCTCCATTACCGGTGCATAAATTTGGCATGACTTGATTTTGCTGGCAAGTAGATTGATTAGGTTGTCCAATTGTATATTGATCAATATCATTATAAATTGATCCAAACCAGAAGGACGCGTCCTTCAGATTATTAAATCTCTGCTATTGATCTCGTGGTTATATCCTGTTTTAATTCGCACAGCATTATATAATACATTCTTGTGTTTCATGCGATACATTATGCGCTTAAATATGAATAAGACTTTAACGTCGATCCTAAATTGTTTTGCAAGCGTACTTTAGATTTTTCGGACAAAGACGTAAATTAATTCTAATACGCGTAATGAAAAATTGCGAAATGAAAAAAGTGGAGAGACATGTGCAAGTAGAAATTGAGAATAACTAAATCATAGAAGAAATATAATTTTCCAGTAAGAGAGGTAGACTCTTCTAAAGCGGAAGAGAAAACATCGGGGAACAAGAGGTAGAAAATACTGTCTCGTTCGAAACTCGTGTGGACAAAAGGCAAATGCAATCTAAAATATATTTAACACTAGAACTACCGAAGATTAACCTATACTTATTTCTACCGAAGGGGTCAAAATGAAAAAAAGAGAAAAAAAATTTATAAAGCTAATTATATATTTCAATAAAAGTCAGAAAAAATTTCAGAAATTGTGATGTTTTAAAAATAAATAATAATTATATAAAAAAATATCAAACAAGTTATTTTGACCCCCTTGGTAGTTCTAGTGTTGAACTAATCATAGTATCTATGCTGATGCAATTTGTCCCTAAATTATCAATAAATCAGTGTGTTATCGAAAATATTCCGACGGCGACACCAACCAGTTTTACGTGCAATAATTAAATAAATGTTGAGAGCAACGATCTTAAAATATCTATAAATAACATATATACACACATGCAATATATACGATTGCTCGACTTTCTCTCTCTTTTCTCCCTCTTTCTTTATCATTTGTAATTAACCGTGTAAGATGCCAATCCGGCATTGACGTCGATGTTGGTCGCGGAATGTCCTTGAGGACTGGCTGAAATCGCGAGCGAAGGATATGCGGATTGCAGCTGCTGACCTTGCGATTCGTACTGCGATTCGTACTGCGACCGATACTGCGGTCGATATTCCGGCTGGAACCGCGGGCTCACCGTTGCCGGCCGATAATTGACAGGCGGGTTATATCTGAAAAGTCGAAAAATTGGGTTAACCGATTCCTTTCCCATTCCTGTTGAAGCGCGGAGGTGCGACCGATTTCCCGCCAAGTTGAGCAAGTCACGATCTCTGTACTTTCGAGTGATTCACTTGACATTTAGCCCGCTCGTTATCGCTTTGCGTTCTCCGCGGCGAGCCGATCTTCCCGCATGCATTTTAATTCGATTGATCTGGTCGAATGAAAATTGACATACTTCGTCGAGCAAAATTGAGAACCTTAATACAAAAGCCATATAAAGCAAAATCGTGAATCTTAATGCGGAAGTTACGTAAGTTTCATTTGCCAAATTTTTAGCAGAAATAATTAATCTTTATTATAATTAATCTCTCAAATTTGAGATACGCTCTAAATTTTTATGTATTAATTACGGTATATCGATGCTTATATATTAGAGAAGTCCATTCAAAATTTATTAAAGAATTCCGTATTGAAATTAAGACATTTTCGAGGTAGTCTGTGCGTTTATTGCGACCCACCTTGGTTTGTTATAACCAGCCGGTGCAATCTGTTGCGGCGGATTGTAGGCGATTGGTTGCTGTTTATACTTAGGTGGGTCCTCGTAACGTTCCCCGTTGGTGTAACGTGGATCGGTATGATAGATCGACGGATCCTCGCGGTACTGTCCGTCGTCTTCGGGTTCGTTGCCGTTAATGCTGTTACCGGTCAAGGTTGGCGGGGGCACGTTTATCCCAGGACCGACCGGCTCGAAGCCGCGCCTGGACGCGCCGTATTCGATCTCGCGTACATTCCCGGTGTCGTCCACGAAGCCGTACTTACCGTAAACCTCGCCGGTCGGACTCTTGGACTCGATCTTGTACGAGCCGTCCGCCGCCTCGAAACCGTAACTGTAACTACCGTCCTCGTTGTGCCTGTCGAAAATTGACGGTCCATATTTCGAAAATTGTCAGTCCACCCGCATACACACGAACACATTTGTCAAAATTATAAAAAAATAGAATAAACTGTAGCTGTAGAGTAAGAATTAAAGAAAATTGCATTATAATAAAATAACTTTCACATAGAAAAAAAATTCAAAGGTATTCATTGCGTTGTTTCGCTTTCATTCGGTTACGTAATGCTGATATAGCACTCACTTGTTTATCTGTTTTAAGATAGGTACCGGTGTATTCGCAGGATACGGTTGATTGTGCTGGGCGACCGCAAGGCCGAGGCAAAACAAGAGAAACAGCACCTGGTGACACGAATTTGCATAAAAACGTCGGTATTCGGAACACTTTCCAATGGCCTCGTACGCGCATTCGAGGAAAGTCGATAACGAGATAGCGCGAACACGAGATGCGCTATTATCGTAATTTTCTGCCAATTTTTTAAAATGAATATAAACAGCTACGTGAAATTTAGCATTCGTCGATACTCGTTTCTTCACTGAAAGAATAAACGCCGGTTGTAATGACAATGTCTGACTGCTAACCACTGAAACATAACTACCATCCTGGAACCCCACTGTTATAAACACGATTATTGTAATTCCTCTGTCTGCGAAAGGTGCCTTTAAAAGAATTTATAGTAATAACGTAACACACACTTTATACAACTGCGAGACGCTCATACATATTGCTCTTTCACTGAAATTAATATAATCCTTGTAAAGTCAATTTTATTCATGGAATACAAAATATTCACTCTTGTAAATTCTAAATTACTTCGATATTTTACGCTAATTAATACACAATTATCATACAAATATTTGTACATGTCCCAATTACCGGAATTAAATTTAGCTTCGAAAACAAAATAATTCCTGTTATGTCAGCACTTACGAATGGATGAAACAGGTGAAAGAGAGAAGAAAAAGGAGTAACGATACTCACGGGAAGACGCATGTCTGGTTGGTGATGAGGCACAAGTGATTGTGTTATAGCTTTGCGTTATACGCCGAGCAAGTCTACTTATATAGGTCCCCTTCGGGAGCGGCGGGGCCCGCCCATGGGCCCGACCTCCGCCTTAACTTCAGCACGCGAGTTCGTCTTACAAAGAGATTGAAAATTTCTGTTGCACCTCTCGGCTTCTTCCGATTTTCATTCACGACAAAAATATAACTTCGTATTACGCATGATACACAAATATTAGTAGTGATGAACGAACCGATGATTATATTAAATGCATATAAATAAGTACAGTTGTCACGGTAGTCGCAGGTTTAAATTACTACGCGGGATGGTTCAGAGTTACGTTCCACTCTTTTCAAACTTTCGAATATGTTAATACGTTGGAATAAATCAGCTAAACGAGTTTTTCTGTTCTTCTTCCAATATTACTATCATTTGCTTCTTATGTAAATTAATGTAAAAAATATAAATTATTTGTTTGCACTTCTTCATTGTTCTCTATAATAAATAGATATTTCTAAAATTTTTTTTCGTGCAAGTATAAATAACATTTTGATATTATTAAAAGCTATTATTAAAATTATTTCCATACTTATTATTTTTAAGATTAAAATTATTTTTCATATTAATGTTAATAATTGTATCATAAATAGTCGGACATACACGTGAGAGTAATTGTATTTTAGAAATAATAATTTAGCTATTATTTCTCAATCTGAAGAAATTCAGTTAAGAAATTACATATCACCTTACAATATGCATATTGCAATCAACAATAAGTAATTCTACCTCGACATTGCTTAAATGACTGGCAGACATGCAAGCACAAGGTGGCGTCAATCGAAAGGAGCCCTTGACCACTCAAAACGTCCTTGATTTTCAGAGATGTAATTTTGCAGTGCGCGAAACCCTCTTGTATTTCCATCTCAAGGATGTCTGTGTCCGCAAGATACATTTCTCGTTAGAGACTTCAACGATGGAGATTTTAATGCCGGTGATTTCGACATAGGACACTCAAGTGGCACATACAGCAATATTTTAATTACCAATTTTATTAATCCCAAAAATTTTTTAATTAAGACTAAACGATTCGGGCCAATTGGGCGTGATGTTAAATGTTCTCCAATAAAAAATTATATTTGCACATGTATAATGTATCGGAAGAATAAAAATTTTTGTTATCCAAAGGTATATGCTCTTTTTGGAGCACATTAGATTTCTTATTATTTTGTAGAAGTTTAGATTTATGTATGTCCATCTATCAATTGCAACAACAAATTGTTCTTCGCGTATTAATTATTTTTAACATTTGTTGGCATCTACCAAACAAATAAGTTTGACCATTGAACGAATAAGTATATCTTTTCCAATATTGTAGTATGCTGTAACGGTGCGCAGTACCGTAGCGATTTTGTGACGCGTAATTGTACAAGCAATGAACATCGATTTTGTAATTATACGAATCATCAGGTTAACCCAGAACTTTCCCGATCATACAAGAGAACATCTTGACATTTAACGTGGCAGACATAAGGGTGATGCGGAATATCGCGGCGCAATATAGTAAAGCCTACTGCTTTTACTACCTTGCGGCGTACGTTTCGCTGCCGTGAGAATCGTACAGTGTGAAAATAATAACGTCGATCATACTAATGCGCCACTAATTATCCCTCGCATATATAGTAATGCGAATAATAATTCAAACAAACATCGTTCTGAAATAAATCAAACTTCGAGCGAAATTTTATAAAAACTATTTTGCCTATTTTTCAGAAATATCATACATTAATACTGTTAAAATGTTTTATATTTTTTAAAATGGTGGCTTGTTACGACAGGCCTTTTTTAAAATAGCTAAATTTAAACATAAAAGCAAACAAGTAAACTTCATTCAGGAAATTTTTTCTCTCTTCAAAAACGACAGATTGCTATAAGGAAGTATTACAATTGCACTGTTCTTCGAGAAGAGTGGCGGTGAAAGTATGCGAGGACAGTGCTCCGGAATTTACATTCGAGCAATGACAAACAAAGCAGACGGAATTCCTTTGCAATTGAGTGACAGCCGTAACTAGAGAGTTTATTACCCGTCTCATTGATCGCATGTCACACTCGTTATATCTTTATGCAACGTGGTTGCGTGATTGCGTAGGTATAATTCTTACGTGATAGCTCTCGCCGCGCGAATGACCACGGCGTTGAAGACAATGAACATCCGCTTTCCGCGAAAACCTGCGGTAGTTCCAAGACCGAAAGCGAATTTTAATTCCACCGAGTTTTCCGCTCGTAACATCAATTGCATACAATTATTTCATAACGGATATTGCATAAGTGTACTTTAGATTTATATTATTCTCACGTATTGATTACAACGCTTAACGTTCTTTAAAATCTTTTTCTATAAAGTGTTATTTATAGAAATAAAATGTAAAATTGACGAGAAAATAATGCAGTAAAATCTTTTTGATTTAAAAGCAATTTTTTAAACTATTTAGGCAATAGTATCACATCAATATTATTTAAATTAATAAGAGATATGTAGAGTTAAGCGTTAGTCGAATAGGATGATGATATATGGTGTGAAGATTGTGGAAAAAAAAGGTGTGACCACAACGGGTTTATAATAGCTAGGTAAGTTAATATTACAACCTTATATAATTAATATATATATTTTTTCACACAGGAATGTTCCACAATTATCTGGAATTGAGCAAGAAGATAAACAGCAACAATAGTTAACTTAGGGGTAACACGCACTAAATGGACCAAAACTCCCAAGCTCCCCAAGCTTGACGACCAATTTCAAATTTAATGTCTCCTCCGATAGCCCAGTTTCTCCGCACAAGCCCCACTCGTGCGGGGGGTGCAGTTTGGAATATAAAAATTCCTGTGATCAGGTGGACTCGAACCCGGTTCCTTGGAGTTACGAGTGGCGCTTTACCACAAGACCACACTGCCACCCTGTGATTATCAGTGGATCCTGATATGCATAAGTCTACGTTACTACTCTATGGCCGGTATTCAGATCTTATATTTAAGATCGTGTCTGGTCAAAGGCAATCTTAAGACTCCATCCAACCAATGAAATGACCATATTAGCATCTTAAGACATTACTTAAGACGATCTTGAAATAAGATCCGGCTATGAATACCGGCCTATGCAACCGCGAATATTTTTCGTATATCTTGGTCGACGAAAAGAGAGTACGAAGTTCACCATCAGCCCGTAAGGTATCGACACTGCGACGTCCGAGCGAATGCAGGACTGACGCCGAACCTCGAGCTTTCATCTCGACTTTGCTGCAAGAGGAAAGTCAATCGGTAGGCTTAAGTGCTCGCGTTTGATCCGCGGGATTTCAATGTTTTAAATTAAAAATTAATACATATCTTGATATCTTTAGTTACGGGAAAAAAATTAATCTATGTATAAAAAACTTAGAAATAGTGATGATGATGGAAAACATAAATAAAATATAAAAATGTAAGTAAAACATAGCCAAAAAAAATCTTCTATATAAGCGTTCTTTTCTTCTAATTTTTAAATTTTCAACAATTAAAGAACATTTCTTGCTAAATTTGCAATACATATATATTTCTGAGATTTAAAAATTAAAGCACTAGTTTCCATTTAAAGACACTCATATTCTCGACGTACCTTCTATCCTCGTAAAATATGTAGATCGCGATAATAAAAGTGACACGTGTTTGTACATTAATTGTTTCTCGTTAATTCGCGAATTTTGATTCATTCCAAAGCTCCGCGCATTTTTCATGTATGCATACGCATTCGCCTCCCCAAGTATGATATACGAAATTGAAGCGTCACATAAAACAGATTAAGTTGATGTACAATGAAAAGGTAATCATTCCCTCTCTCTTCCGTTTATTTTATTACCGTAAGTCTCGCTACATGTATCTCACGCATGCCTGTTATTCTGCCATCGCAATAAGTGTCAGAATGTCGTCATATTAAAAACTTAAGCGAGTATGCAGTTTGGGACCGCATCTCGTTAGGAAGAGAAAGAAAAAGGAGGTGTCGGTCGAAGTGACCGAAGGGAAAAAATGATCCGACAATGAATATTCCCGTCGAAGACGCTTGGCTTTATTCTTGTTGCCCTTCTACTCGCGAATTATCGCCGCAAAGGAAAAACCAGCTGTTAAACCATTACCTTCTTTTCTTTCGTTCGTAATTCGTTATAACTACTCCCTCGTTCCCTTGTTCTCGTGTCTCGCGTTTCACGTTCCAATATTTCAGGCTTAATGTAATTTACAATATCGAGGAGAGACACAAACCGCGATAATAAGCTGCTGTCAAGTTTTTTTAAAGATGTTATCGTGAAACAAATATACAGCGATTACATGCGAATGATTGCACTACATTATATTCTGTACATTTTCAAATTGACAATGAAGATAACGAAAAGTTTAAGCTATTGCTGACAGAGTCGCGCAAAACATATTTTCTCGCCGTTAACATCGGAGTTAATGTTCAATAACTCAAGAATCAGAAATCTTTGAGCATGATTTCTATATGGATGATTACAATCCCGTATATAATAATATATATTATATATGTATATATAAATTTTTCAGGTACAGTAAATCGAGAAAAAAACGGTGGTCCAGACTTGATTTTATTGCGGGAGTTTTGATCCAGCAACAGTTACGGGGACAGTTAGCGGGACGACGTTCGGCGTCGTAATTAACTGCCGGGTCGACGTCGTATAGTACAACGATTCGATTAACATTGTACCCGTGTGCCAGTTGCATGATTTCCCAGTAACGAGTCAGGTGCCATTTATTCCTGTATCATCGGCGGCCATCTGCGGCGTAGCTCCACGCTACCACCGCGGTGTAATTTACAGCAGCGCGAGCGTAAATAATGAAAATTTCCGTCTGTCGAAGGGGGCTATCCTCAAGGTCTTCATGCCGCAGATAATGCTAACCGGGGCTACAATTATCATCGGCTCGAGATACTCTCGAATCAAGGATGAATCACGGCATTGGGAGCGCCACGCCGCGC